CTCACCCACTCCTCCTTAGTGTAGATAATATCATTTTTTTTCAAAAAAAATATATATGTATCTATAGGGGATCAGCTGGTAGCTTCACCACGTCAGTTCATCCTTTCGGGAGCCGAAAAGATTTATAGAGACATTTCAGTATTTTCCTGACCACCATCGTATGATTCACCAGCAATAAAAATCGAATACAGAACATACCATGTAAAATAAAAATCTGAAATTCGTCATCAACAACTTAATCATCCCATCCCATGATGATAAAAGGCCAGCTGTGTTGAATGTAGGCTTTGGTTGCTATGAATTGGGATATCCGTACATATTATTATTATTATTATTATTATTATGACCAATAAATGGGCGAAGAATTAAGAAAAGCGACTGGAAAGTGGAAACCTCTTTTTGTCAAAGACGTAATTCAAGTCAAAAGCGCTTCGTGTTAAAGAGGTTTTTCAATATGATTGAAAATGGAATGATATATTACATGTCATTATACAAATAGTTGGGTATTTATGTTAAAAAGTTAATAATTTAAAAAATAAAATTTCTCACCCCTTATAGAGAAACACGTGATGTACCACTTCTGTCCGATCACAATGAAAATTTTCTCCTGGGGATCTCATAGTCCACTCATGCATGTTACATGTCAAGCCACAGGAAGAGATAAATTGTGGTACCCAGCATGTAATTTGGGTTTTTAATCAAGATGATGCCATCATAAAACGCCAAGTATAAAGGAGAGATTTTTGAATAAGGCTTCAGCTGTAGTGAAATATGATTATGTACCTAATTTAAGTTTACCCAACATAAACTATGATTATGTACCTAATTTAAGTTTACCCAACATAAACTAAGGTTGGTAGGGTTGGGACCAAAATGGAATGTGACCTCGACTTATGAAATAAGCACATCTGTCATAAAATTAATTAGCAACGGATGGAAAAATTCAAAGAAGATGACATCACCCAAAGACAATGGTCAAGTCATTGCGTTTCAATACACACCCAGCGATTTTTACGAGGGGCCGGTTCAACAAAGTTTGACAACTTTTTTTTTTCTTGAGTTTAGAGTTTAGGGTTTACGGTTTATGAATTGTAAGTAAATATATAGAACACTCCATACATGAAAACCAATAACCACACTGAAGTTGATACAATGGAACTACCCAAAGCTCAATGGAGTATACCAAATAAAAAGTTAGCTAGATTAATACACTTGCATTAAGTTTGGTGAAATGCACTTTTGAGGTGCAATTTAGATCACAGTTTGTGGGATCAAGATCTTTTTCAGATCTCACACTTCAGCATGCGACCAAGCAATTCGGATCATTCAATTTAAATCTTACGGTTTTCATTAGCTGATTTCATTGGTCCACATTACAAACAATCTTTCCCAACGCTCAAATATCTCCCTCTCTCTTGAAAGCTCCAGGTTCCTCAATCTCCAATCTCTGGAGTCACACTCCAGAGATAATCTCAATCTCAATTTGTAACCACATATGGCTTGAAAAATTGGCAATTATTTTAGATTAAATAATTTTACGAAATGCTTCATTTTTCAGTTCCATATTATTAAGAGGTACAGATGGATTCCAACAACCAAACAACTCAAAGCCACAACTACTTGCCCTACTACTCTTCCGACTTCCGCTTACAAATAACTGCCAAAGTTCAACTAACACCATCACTTTCACTTCCCACTTACACCACACACTAACCTCCTCTAATAAAAGTCATAAGCAAAAAGACAGAGAGACTTACATGAAATGAGAACGTTAAAAAGGTAGTGTCTTAAACAAGGTTTTAAAAGACACTAGGCGCTAGTCGGGCGGCGGGTTGAGCACCTAGACAGCTAAGCGGGGGCTTAGGCGGACTAAGCGGATTTAAGTAAATTTATTATATTTCGTGTAAATAAGTGTCTGTTTATACTTAAAATATATATAAATTACAACAAAAATGACATATATATTATGAAGTATTGGAACATAATAAAAATATGGGGAACAAACATATAATGTGTGTTTATATAAGTATTCAACAAGTCTCTTACAATTTATTGAAAAAATTAATATGAATGAAATTTATCTATTTTCTGTTTATGTGAGTTGCAACCTACGGGTGCCTAGGTAGGTTTGGGCGGGCTAGGCGGTAGGTTTAGGCGCCATTTTTTAATTTTCAAACACCTAGGCATTAATCGGGACAGTGACCAGCCGCCTAGATGCTAGGCGGGGATTTTTAGAACAATGGTCTTAAATGTATCATGCATAGCTGCGTGTTTTGGTTTTACCACATGATGTCTTATAATTAATTTGAGACATTGCAACCATGACGTCAGAGACCAATAGACAAGTAGTAGAACGCATGACAGAATCTAAAGCCAGTGAAAATGAAGGACAAGCCTTTAATACTTAATAAAACAAGCAAGATATAAATTAGACATTTAATATGAAAATATGTATTGAACTAAGAATTTCCGAGTAGAAGGAGATTTACGCTACATCATGAGCATTAAAAGGTTTTAATAGTCATTTACAAATTCTCCAGAATTCCTCGCAATCTAATTAGTTTTTCTAGTTCTTATTTTTAATATTTTGCAATGCATTTCTTACTAATTTAGCTTAAATCTCGTGCAACGGAGTTATCCCTAGTCCTAAAGGGGATACGAAGCCAAGCAACAAAACAAAGACAATCTACGAATAAACGATCACTAAACCGAAATGGGGAGTTGAATAAGCATTGTTCAAAGACAAAAAATTGCCATCACATTGACTAAAGTGGAAATGCTCCTCCACAGTCGAGCTTGATTTCATCCTCTCACCCATTTGTATAAAAAGAAAATGCTACTCATTGCCAACTCTCTTCGTCTTTGTCCTTCTACCTTGTTATGAAGATGCAAACCAATCCTCTGTAATGCTTGTTTAAAAACAGATATCCAAATATTGTTTCTATAGAAATTGTCAAACAATATATCAATTACTTTCCTTTGTCACTAACGATAAAAACACACATACGACATACGAGAATTGGCGCAAAAGAATCCTATTTTTCAATTTGTAGTGTATTTTATATTTTTTGTTAGTCAAAAAGCTCTTCAGAAATTTAGCTGTAAAATGTTAAAAAGAAGTAAATGAGACGAATGTGGTTTTTGCGTGTGTCGCCATTGAAGATACTCGACAAAGAAATCCACTTTCAATACGACAAAACTTTGGCTCCTTCCTTTGAGAAGAAAAAGAATATTTATTGGGACTTGGATCCTCTCCTGAGCCCAAGGAGAGGATACTCCTGACCAAAGGTCTTAGACCGTTAGATGAAAATCTAACAGCTATAATTATTATAACTTTAAAGGGACCCCCTTGTTTGTAGCCGTTGACTTTTCATCCAACGGCCCAAGTCTTTTGATCAGGAGGATCCTTTCTTTGGGCTCAGGAGAAGATCCAAGTCCTATTTCTTGCTCCCCCTGCCATTGATTGTCCCAAAAATACCAACAGGATCCTCTCTGGATCCTTTTGGTGAGGATCTTGAAGATTTGTAAATCATGTCCATTCAACGTACATCATGCAATCAGTTTTTATCAAATATTGTTTATGTTTGTTTTTAAATAAAAAAATTTAAAATAATTTCTGACCGCATGATGGACGATGAACGGACACAGTTCACGGGTCTCTGAAATCCTCATAAAGAAAATCCGAACTCCCAAAAATAAAATCCAACATTTGAAATTGTATAACATATAGATTAAAATCGAACCCTCAACTTAAGACGGTAAGCAAAAGTGCACTCTAGAAATAGGTACTCCTATCTTCCAACAAATAAAAATCGGACGAGCATGGAAAAATTAATATGTTTTTCTATAGTTTAGATGATGACTTGTTTTATAAAAAAAATGATTAGCTAGTGGCTTGACCACGACAGTCCAATTTTCCGACGGCCAGAAAAACTTACAGAGGCATTTCAGCCTCCCCTAGCCACCATTATATGATTCACCAGCGCAAGAAATCAAACCCAGGATGTGTCGTGTACAATACAAGTCTAGAATTCATTCTCAACCATTGGACCACCCCGTGATGGTTTTAGACGATTACTTCTTGATACGGTGTTAAATGGTATTTACAAGAATAAAAAATCCACTATACTACCAGTATCCCCTGGTAACAAGTGGAGGAGCGAAGATAATTGCGGACCAAAAAGAAAATAGAGTAGCCCATAAACAAACTAAGGGCCAACGCGTCATAACCAAACAAATTCAATGACCAAAAATTAACAAGATGATGAGGTAAAAATAGTTGTATAAATAACGTTCGAAAATTAATGTAGTGTAGCATCTGGGTGGATTTGAACCGCCAACCTCCCAAAGCCCAGCTAAGGGCTCTAAGAAAATGCGCCAACATCCAGCTCATTTAATCCACTCAGTGAACAGTGATAGACCTAATGAACAATAATTGGCTAAAAGCATCTCCACCCCTAAAAAATGCGGTGGCACAAGTCTAAAAAATATGTTGGCACAAACAATCTCCACTCCTACAAAATGTGTAGGCACCCAACCCATTTAAAATATTATTAATTTTTTTATAAAATAATAAAAAAAATAGTTTTAATTTCGAATATGATTTTTAACCAATCTTGTCACGCCATGTGTCATTATCCGAAAGTTCTATTTTGTGGATAGATGTCTGATAACATTTTCAACCAATCTCGATGCGCCACATGTCACTATCTGTTTACAATAATTTAGCCAAAATTTCGATCAGATTTTCAAACAATCTTATCACGCCATGTGTCATTATCCGAACGTACTATTTTTTGGACAAATTTTCGATAAGATTTTCAACCAATCCCAATGCGCCACGTGTCAATATCTGTTTACAATAGTTTAGCCAATATTTCAATCAGATTTTCAACCAATCACGTAGTGCCACATGGCATTGTCTAGAACATCATCCTTTCTTTTTTTGTCCATATAAACCCTACATCCATCATCATTCATACACCAAACTCAATCCTTTATTTTTAGCTCAGAATCATTCTTTATCGTTTTTAAATCTTGAGTTCTTACAATGTCTTTTTCAAGGAGAATGTATTAAATTGATGAGCACCAGAAAAAATTGTTGGCACAACCGGAAGAATTGTTCAATGTGGAGGAAGGTGGAGATGAGGCTTTCGTGATGAAAGAGGATGAGGATGATGAAGATAGAAGGCATAGGGCCTCACATTCCCGTCATGTCATGGAAGCTGTGGATTAGATAGCCAAACCTAGACGCGCCGCAAACTTTAATAGAAAGAGGGAAAGAGAAGGTAAAGATCTCTTGGAATATTATTTTATCCCCTACACTGTATTCCTTGAACATATTTTTATATGTCGTTTTAGAATGCAACGAAGTTTGTTCGACAAAATCATGAGTGCTATTTGCAACCATGGTCCATACTTTGTGCAAAAAAAAGATGCTTTTCATGTTCTAACTCTTCTTCCTGAACAAAAAATCACGGCTTCCTTACATATTCTTATATATATAGCATCTGTAGATCAAATGGTTGAGATAGTGAGGATGGGAAAAACAACTGTTCTTGAGCCCCTGATGCGATTTCGCTCCGCAATCGAAGCCCTGTACACCAATGAGTACCTTCGAAAACCCAAATTTCTTGCAACTCCATCTCATTACCCATAAGCGAGTCATGAGTAATTTAAACCCAGCATTGACACAACGTAACATCTTCGATAAGCTTCCACGTAGCCATTTTTTCCACAAAAAAGTAAATTGAAATTTTAAAAATATTGAAATGTGGTGTAAGGTGGAAGATGATGGTTAGGAATTAAATTTTTTTTTTTACTTTTCTGTATCTTTAAAACAATTTTTCTTAATTTTAATTAAGTTAATTAATTTGGACTATTGGATTTGAAAAAGACTCAAATCCAACAGCCCAAATGTTGACACGTGGCCAACGGTACTAATTCTGACCATTGTGCCCTGGATCGAACGACTCAGAAATCACCACGTCACTAGCCGTTGGATATGATTTTCAAATTTTTTTTACCATTGAAAATCTAACGATCCAGAAAACTAGCCATTGGACCTAGAACGAGCCAAATGGTGTCTACCCCGCCTCCTCTACCACGACTACAACGGTAGACCCCATAGCCTTTTTTTTGTCGGGAACGCATGCCTACGCCCGCGTGCTTCCACTCGCAAGACGAAAAAAAAATTTCAATGTGCTATGACATCATGCTAACGCCAACTTTACGTCACAGAGGCTAGCTAATTGCTCAGCACATTTTAGGCCAGCCTACGGCCTGGCTTTGGCTGGATGCCAGCCTATTAGGATGGGGTGGAGGACTTCTGGGGAGTGCCGGTCCATCATTTGTGCTTTGAGCCAACCTACCCCTTGGGATGAACTTGCTCTTACATATCTTCATTTCAAACAAGTCAAGAAATTCAATTAAGACTCGAGCATACTTTGTTATTAGGTGAAAAAAATGGAAGCAACTATGTGCAGCCATTGTTTAAACCAAATTTCAATAATATTAAAGCATACTTTGATCTGACTCATTTGATATTTTTGTCGTAGTAAAAAAAAATTGCAGCAGAAGCCACGAAATTTGTTTTTCAAGTGGCATACGACATAGAAATTCTCAAGAGGTAAAAACCCAGCACTAATGTTCGAAAAGAAAAAGACCACAATAAAAATAACGATTGATTTAAAATTATGGTTCTTTAAAAATAATAGTTTATTAATTATAACATTAAACGTGTTTAAAAAAATAAAAAATAAAAACCGGTTGCCAATGACAAAATTAAAATGGAAATGTAAGATCACATTAAAATCTTATTATTTTTAGTCATTCAAAAAAATTCGCAGCAATTTATATAATAGTTAATCAAACACTCAACAATTTTACTTGATAACTGTTTATTCTCACAGTACGACAGTACAATAAAAACCATTTTTTTTTTTTCAAAGCATAACAATACCAAACTCACCCTTAAATAATACAACTTATATAATACAAGTAAGAGTTGCATGTCTAATTCACAAAAATCTTTCACAATATCCATTTCCATCTATCGTGTGGTGTGGCTATCTTGTGATCTGAATATGCTGAAAAATCTCCCAAAAAAGAGCAGGTTCACAAATTTAACATACCAAAATTCTTTGCTCGCCTAAAAATTTAACATTACTAATATAATTTAGACTAAAAATTTATCATACCAAAATCCTTTATCTTGGCATAAAATGTTTGAATCAAGTATTCCTCACAATAAGTTGTAAAAGACGAAGGGAAGCCAAACTCATTTCATTATTCACCTCAAGATCCCCAAGTAGAGATTGCAGACGGGATTTCATCATTTCCACAGCCAAGCATGCATGTATTCGAGATTGCAATTGAACGGAAACAAATAGGCCTCCGGCTTCATAGATAAGAGAGAACTCAGTGGCCCGCCAATCCAACTTCTTGGACCATCTCCAACCGAAAGAAAACCAGAAAGTTCTCTTTGACCCAATAACCCTCTAAGAAATTATATTTTAATAAACAGTATCAGACCATATTTTATATAATCTCCAAACATAACCCATGACCAAAAACCATCTCCATTCAACTAAATTACCATATTAAAATAAAATTTTGAACGTAGGAAGACATAAAAATGAGATCAGATATTATAGAATGATGACAAATATTTGAAAAATGATTAAATTTTTTTTTTTTAAAAACAAAAGTGAGCTGGACAAAAAATATTCTTCCCAAAAAAAATACGAGCTAAGCCAAAAGAGTCGATTGGGCTAAAAAAATTATCCCGAAAAGATAAACAAGGAATCGGCTCATCGTACTAACCGATTGATTGAAAATGGCCAACAAGCCAGATGAGCCAGCCTACGTTTTTTTTTTTTCCAAAGAATTTTTTTGCCCAATCCACATTTGTTTTTTGGTGGATTATTTACCCCGTCCACCTTTTTTTGACATTTTTTTGAATTTCTAATTTTTTTCCTACATCATTCTCATATTTTTTTTTTTACCATTCCATACTATTTTATTTCAATTCTTCGCATTAAATTGAATAGCCTTTTGAGCCCCTCAGTTAGATATAGTATGAAATATAATATAACATTGTTTATTAAAATATTAATTTTTTTTAGAGGTATAGGGGTAAAATGAGCTCTCACCTTCATTGAAAATGACCTTAATGCCATCTAAGGGGTATACAATTTCCAAATCTTAAAGCAGTAGCAGCCACAGGCAACAAAATTACATAGGATCCATACAGCATCCTATCCAAGAATACATCATAACATCGATCGCAATCAATACCCTCCCGCAATTAGTATACAAAATAAAACTTAAGCATCAACTCACACAGCAACACGTAATGAAAATTTCCGCTCATACACCGGAGTGTCGTAACAAAAGCACGAGGCGATATTGGAAAAGATTGCAAGCATGAACAGTTTCATAAATATGAATCACAATAACAACGTAGGTTATATTACAACGAGTGCTCAAGCCTTACAAAATTAAAATTTATTTACCAACATTCTAGGTTAATTTGAACATTAAGCCAGACATGGTAAAAATCCATATCCGTTAAGGTTTTAGATCCACCGAGTGTAACATATTAATTGGTAACAATTGTAACTACTGTCTTATAACTTACTACTACTTTGAAAATCAGTTTAGCGGTTTGAAGGAACACTGCAATTTAATAATACTAGGAAGGCCATATTTATAAACTAAATTTACAAATTAAATCATCTATCAATAATATAAAAAAAAAACATGTTAATCAGTATTAAGTAATACTCCAATCATTTTTCATGTTTTATTTTACACAATATAATATCTCTAACAACCTAGTTATATTTAGGATACCCAGTTATATTTGGTTTCATCCGTTTTTAAAACAAGATTAGATGTTGGACTTAATACTAGAAAGATTAAATTTACAAACTATATAATGTTAAAATAGAGATTTTTAACGAAAAATATCCCGGTATTGTTTACTTTAATAAAAACCATATTTTTACACAAAAATTAATTCAGATACTATTTACTTTACTCTTTAGTTTGTCATTTTTGTTAAAACTCAAAGTTTTCAAGTCATTTTCATTAGTTTTCCTTAAAATAAAAATAAATAGTAACAGAATTAACTTTTTAATGTAAAAATATGATTTTTCATTACAATATGCAATACCAATAGCTTTTCGTTAAAATTTCTTTTATTTTATTATCTTTAAAATTCAAAGTTTTCAATATCATTTTATTAATTTTCCTTAAAATAGACACATTTATCAACAATTAAGAAATAATCCACTCATCAACTTCTTTATCATTTAATTTACACAATTTAATCTCCTAGCATTACTCTAAAAATATGATTAATCCCCTAAATTAAGTTGAAGTGGTTTGAGCACGAGGCAAATTAATTGTACACAATAAAAATGGGTTTGCTGTGTAACCGGAGATGTGATAGTAACATGATTAGATAGATTCATATCAATTGAAATAGGCGTAGTCAGATAGTACCTTTGGCGGTGAGATATGCCGTCGTCGTTGCTGTGCTGAATCCGAATTCAAATGCATATGTGAGCAGTAGAGCAAAAACAAACACAACACAACAGAGAAAGGAGGGCACACCACACACCGGAGGGGAGACCCTGGGCCAAAAAAGACCCATGCTGTCTCCCCTCCAAACCACAAACGATGTTATTTTTTTTATTGAGATTTTTTTGACCTGCCATGCAAGCGCACCTGCCATGGCAAAGGCCGGATGACAAAGATCGGTCCAGGACTCAGCTCTTCCACCGAGCCTTTAGTCCCGACATCTCATACATCCGATGCGTACCCAATTAACCCCATAAACACCCATCTCTTCAGATTCCCAGTCATCAAATTACAATTGTAGCATTCACATAGATTCGGTGTAGAGCACCTTCAGCCTTCATAAGACTCGGATCTGCTGCTGAAACGCCATCGAATCAAGCTCGGAAACATCAAGGATTCAAACCCGCATAGATTGTGCAAGAGCTCCGTAGCTATATCTGATCGAAAACAAAACAACAAAGCAATCAGAATCTGTAGCAAGCAGAAGCACTAGAGCATAAACAGATAAGAAAATCGAATCGAAGAACACAGGCGAAAGCCGGTTTAACCGGCTGAAGTGCAAAAGCATATCAAATCATCATCCCAATCTCAAACGACCATCAACGCGAATATATCGATGCGATCTACGCGAATCCGCATGAATTAGACAGAGAGAACGATCCATGCAGAGCAGATCTGCAGAAGAAATCAGGAGGCGAAGCATAGAGTTGTTAAGAGAGAGAAGACTGTTAGCGTTGAAACTTTGAATGGTTCAGAGTCAGGCACCCTAACGTACTTTTATAATGGGATAAGAGATGCGATGGACGGATGGGATTTGACTCCTCTTCTTTGAGATGGACGGTTCATATGGGGCGTTGTGGTTAGTGATTCATGAGCTGGACGTTACCATCCAACACATATTATTTTGCCGCCTTATAGGTGGGAACAGGTGGGACCATGGCTTTCCTTTTTGTTTGGGAATCCGATACCCCGTAAAAAGGTTATTATAGCTGTTTTTTTTTTATTTACAATAATTAGGTTTTAGAGCAACTCCAGCGGAGGCTGGTTGCTCGGGCGACAGGCGAGGACAAAGGGCCCCAGGGTCGGTGGAGAGAGGTCCAGCCGTGTGGAGGCCGAGCGACGGTGGGAGCCCAAGCGAAGGTGGGGTGGGGAGTCGACGGGCCTGTGGCCCGAGGGCTTTGCAATTTTTTATTTTTTTTGTGTCAGAGAAAGAGAGAACTTTTGTAATTTTTTATTATTTAAACAAACAAAAAAATTATTATTTTAATTGCTTATTGCCAGGGAAAGGGTGGAGATGTAAATGACAATTATTGTTCATTAATGGTAGTTACTATTCATTTAAGGCAGTTACTGTTCAATAGGGTGGATTGAATAGTGAATTGCCAGAGGGAGGGCTCCATGGGTGGAGTTGCTCTTACCCCCACAATTTCTTTATTAATTGGTTCTACAATCTTATCAATTATTTGACCAGAATAAGAATATATTGGGCCATTGGCACTTATCCCTTGGGAATTTCAGAGCATTTAGCTTATTTCTGACTGAAGGTCAAATTCAAGAATTCAGTATTTTTAACTTTCGGTCTGATGATATTTTTTTTACTTAAAAGTGAGAAGTTTTAAGTTTGATTTGTTCGAATACCGTAACTGGTAAATTCAATACTAAATTGGACTATCCATTATGTAACTTTGCCAAACTCCACCTCCTCTTATTGTCAAAATATCGATGTAGTAAAAAAAATTAATTAAAAACCTATAATTATCACCATCAACTTTATTATTTGATAAACTATTGTATTTTATTATTTTTTTAATAATTTTGAAATTAATTTTGTACAATCTTATCTTATTTGATTGTTTACGTACATTTTGATGTAAAAAATTCATTTCATGCAGAGAGGATCTGCATGAGAAGAAGAGCCCCGTAGTGGCTATATAACTCACTTTTTAGTGAATTTATAATCCATCGTATTTAGCTCCTATTTTTTATTACAAGACTCAAGTCCATTTTAATTAATCACAACCTATCCTAATCAATCCATCAAACATACCTGATGCCCAAACACCCTATTAAATTAAACGTTAAATTAATCACCGACTAAATTTAAATGTAAAAACTCAGCATCTTTCCACGATTGTAATACAAGACCACTTGCTAGAATAACATTAAAAAATAATTTGTACAAATACCACTTTTGCTAGAATAACATTAAAAAACAATTTGTTTTGAATGTAAAGACTCAGCCTTTTTTCCACCACTGTAATACAAAACCACTTGCTAGAATAACATTAAAAACAATTTTGCTGTAAAATATAATTTTGCATTAAAAAAAACAACAGAACAGAGCAAAAAGATAAACAGAATGCATACCCAAAAATCAACAGACAACATCAAATCATGTAACGAAAAATTCATAGCAAATCTGGATGGATTCGAACCACCAACCTCTCAAAAGCCCAGTCAAGGACCTTGAGCGCTCTTCCATTTTTGAGCTTACAGATCTTCATTTCAAGCAACGAGCAGGAGGCAAAACTTCTGATACTTCCAGCTTAATTCTTTTCAATAAGAAATTTACAGTACAAGCAACTACTTGTCCACTTACGTTAAGTACATATGGTAGATCAATTTAAATGGGGGGTATTCTACCCAAATAAAGAAATCTAAGTTAGGCCCCGCAATAAGCCAACAATAATTTAGTTGAATTAAAATAAATAAATAAATAAACTATAAACATAAACAAAAACAAAAACAAAAAAACGACCAAAAATAAAAACCCCTAGGCATGTTGAGATTATCCATGATTTGAATGCCAAATTACCAATAGACCGGTAGACTATCGAAACCTCAACCAGGCATTAAATTCTATAATAATTAACTTGGTCGAACAGTGAACCAGGCTTTGAATTCCAAAGTAATAAAATCAGAGTCAATTTAAGGCAAGCATCATTTAACCACAGTGAAAAAATACTGAGCCTTTGCATAACGTGTGTTCAAATCTCGAATCTCGTCGGTCACTAATCTAAAATTTAATTTAACAAAATCTTTTGTTTGGTCAAAATAAAATAAAATTAAGATCCCCCCAAATGTTAGGGCATCCGTTTTCTCGTATGATTTAGAGATCCAAAAATTAACTTCTCCGAAGGCATAAAAAATACAAGTGTTCTAAGCAGAGCAACTATTCCCCCCGAAATTAACTTCTCCAAGGGCATAAAAAAATGGACTTGGATCCTCTCCTAAGCAGGAGATCAAGATCCTCGGGATCAAACAACATGACCCGTTGGATTTTAATCCAACGGCTATAATTATTATAACTTTTAAAGGACCCCTGTTTGTAGCCGTTAGATCAAAATCCAACGGTCCAAGTTGTTTGATCCCGAGGATCCTGATCTCCTGCTCAAGAGAGGATCCAAATCCTAAAAAAATCAAGTGTTCTAAGCAGAGCATCTATTCCCCAGCCGAAGAACAAATTCAGCTGTTTCATTTTTACAATTAACTTAACAGTAACACATACCCTTCCAGCAAATTTTTAGCTTTAGTTAAACCCCTTGCATCATATAAAGGAAGAAATCATGAACAAAACACCTTCTGTAAGTAATTGTAAATAGAAACTACAGAATACAAACACAGAACGACTACACCGAAGCTGTTTGAAAAATAACCAAAATCATGTACTACAAAAACGACACCAGTTTAACAGTAATTCCTCCGCAATTCTATACAACAAACAAAACTAGGGCAAAATATTCAATCTAAACTCTTTTAACAAATGAATAGAATAAATAAATGATAATGCGGACACCCATGAATGATCAATTGCAATGACTTAAATCACAAAACGTAAATTAACCGAAAACATTACTTGCCAATACTTAAAAGCTTTAGAGACGGAGGAATGCGAAGCTCAACTCGTTTCATTGGTCACCTCGAATCCTCAGAAAAGAGATTGTCACGAAAATAACTTCTGGACCTATCCCACAACCAAGCAGCTTGTATTTGAGCCGAAATTTAGTTTAACTTGTAATTGTGATGAGAGGCTTCGTTCTGGCCATTCAGGCTCGCCGAGAAGTAATCTGCCGGAATCAAACCTCCCTAGAATCATCTAATTGGAATACAATACATGGCTTACAGCAATGGAATCCAAAACCAACATAATTACATAAAAAGATCCGTCAACTAACAGATCTCACAATATCTAATAACATCCGTTTATCAGCAAATATTAATGCAAATGCCAACAATTTAAATGATAATCTCATCCTCAGCTCATAGAATTTGAACTACCATAACATTAATAACGAGGCAATAATCAGTGCAGAAGAGACTTTGGTATCATAAGGATGACTGGTAAAAGTAAGCAGGAACGAATCGGAGGTGTCGGGAATTGTTTAGTAGGATGACAACGTTTGTGCATAAGTGGACAGATATTACCAACTATATCAAACAAAGTTTTGATTCGTGGTTGGATCTTTCGGTTGGAGCTTTAAAATTGTGATCAAGTATTGTAATTTATATTTTACAATCAACAGATAAAATAAATTTGCTCCCTTTAAAGTCGATTGAAAACAATTTGGAGTAATTTGAGATTGATTGAACAACTCCACAGATTGTAAGCATCGTCCACTAGCATCATCAATCAATTACCAAGTTCCAACAAAGATAATTTATAGTGTTTACAAAATTAGATAAAACCCATATTGATTTGAGACAATTTGAGCAAGAAGCTAATTAATTGTGCAAGTGATTATATGTTCCCTGTGTGAGTGGCAGGCTTTATTTAGCATTATTAGATTGATGAAATCAGTTGAAATAGATTAATACCTTTGGCGATGAGATATCGATGCGGCCGCAGTTGTCCAGAATCCATGTCCGACTGTTTGCAGTTGGGGGCGAGCGAAAATAAGAGACAAAACAACAAGAAAGGACAGAGGACGCACACCACACACCGGAGGGGAGACCCTGGGCAAAAATAAACCCCATGCTGTCTCCCCTCTGAACCAAAAATCGTTATTTTTTTATTGAGATATTTTTTTGACCTGCCATGCAAGCGCACCTGCCATGGCAAAGGCCGGATGACAAAGATCGGTCCAGCACTCGGCCCTTCCACCGAGCCTTTCGTCCCGATATCTTATACATCCATCCGAAATCAACCCATAACCCCAACCCAAATCCCACGATATAAAAGCTTCAGTCTCATGAAATTACAACCATGAACCATGACCCTTTGGTTAAGATTAAACATGCTTCGGCCACCACGAGATCGAATTGGATCAGCTGCTGAAACGCCGCCGGATACTTGTAATCTCCTCCGATTTGGTTAGAGCTCCGTCTGCGAAATCTGTTTGGACGCCAAAACACACATCAATCAAAATCTATACGGAGCAGAAACACTAAAGCTAAAATTCGTTGCAAATTAATAAAATTTAAACAAAAAAGCAAAAACAATAACGATTTGATACAAAAGTTCATATCCAGATTAGTAAAACGAATCGAAAACATATACGTACCTGTAAATTCGAATCGAAGAGCGACGAACACAGAAGCTCGGGCTGGTAAAACCAGCTGAATTCAAAAGCAGCTCAAACCATCACCTCACAATCTCAAACCACCATCAACACGTAGATCTCCATACGATCGACGCGAATCCGATGGTGATCGACATAGAAAACAATCCATGGAGCGCAAATCTGGAGAAGAACTCCTGAGGCGCATGAAGTTGTGAGAGGCGAGAGAGAATATTTGGTGGCGTGAACCTTGAATGGTTGATAAGCAGGCACCCTAACGTACTTATAAGAGGATAAAAATTGGGTAGACGGCTGCGATTTCTTAATTATCATCGTGATCGACGGCTGGTGTTGATCATGTGGTTCGGTAGATTTGGCGGTGGCGTAACCATACACGTACCCTGATGAGCTGGAGACAGAGAAAGCACACCCCATTTTATTGACCATATCAAACACGACATGTAGTTTTTTTGGCCGCCTCGATAGGTTGTTTGGTGGGAATCGGATTCAATTTTTATGCAAATATCTATTTTGTCGAGATAGAATTCACGACCATATCTGGATTCTATCTTTATTAGAAAGATAATACAAATTATGGTATAAATAAACTATAAAAATAACATTTTTATTTTATTACTATAATTTTGGTTGGTTCTAGATTATTCGATATATATGGGCTAATGGTTTCTTCATTGTTGGGCCTTAAGAATATACAGATATTTTGATATAAGTACGCATTATTTTTTAATTTTTTTAATCAAATATCCATGTCTTTTAGTAATTTGATTAAACTTTTTTTTGTCATAATATTGGTGCTATATGCACATTATATTGTAACAAATTTCATATAATCTAGCTTTTTGATTACACTCTTCTTCGTTAGAGATAATTGTAAAAATAAAAAAAAGTTGGTTAGATTCAATTTATTTTCACAATAATGTTACAATTTAGCAATAATTATCTACGATTTAAGATATTTTCTTTTCAAAATAGTTTAAATATTTTTAATCCCCAAAAATCAAACATACCGAAATAAGTTTTTCTTTTAGTACATTAAGAGAAAATAGGATTGAGAATAATATAAACGTACCAATATAAAAAATAAAAATAATGTACCAATATTAATAATATGTATCAAATCAAACATACAGAAATTGCAAATAAACATATCAATTAATGATTTTTGTAAATTCAAATGTACCCTCAGATAATATATATATGTAATGTATCGTACCTAATAATAATTCGTCAACAACTATACTTAAAAAACAACCAAAAATATATATATAATTTCACAAAAAAATTGAAAAAATTACACGGAGCTTTTTATGTTGATCACCAACTATTTGAAAAAGAAAAAACCATTTGAAAATTTAAATAATATTAAATGTTTGCATAACAAAAAAAAAATTGTGATCGAAAAAACATATTTGGAAGAAGAAAAAATATAGTTTAATTACTAATATTTCCACTAAATAAGAAAAAGTGCATCATACAGATAAAATGATAAATTCAAAAAATATTTTAATTTTAAAGAATAGAGGTAACCATTGGTCAAAGCACTTTAATCAAATTTTAAAAAGACATAGATGTTTAATCCAAATTATATAGAAAAACTATAGGGAATTCTAATTTTCCCAATAATATATTGGGCCATTGGTTTTTTGTCAAAGGATAGAATTGTATTAATAATCAAATACGAATGGAAACATTTGCATCTTCAGCTATAATATTAAACAAAAATTGAGGTCCTAATTCATCCCAACCATAGCGCCCACCATGCTTAAGAACGTACGCCACCACCATATGGGTTGCATGTCGAGGGGTAAAGATAAACTTCACCAATTGGAATGACTGCATAATATTCCAAATATCAACTAAATAAACCTCCATCAACACATCAACTTGAATCTCCTTATTTAACATTTGAACCAATCCTTTTGAATCAGACTCCACCTTCGGGTCGAATTCAAGAATTCAGCTTTGTATTTTTAACTTTCGGTCTGATGATATTTCGTTTTACTTGAAAGTTAGAGGTCTTACGTTCGATTCGTTCGAATATCGTGGATGGTGAATTCAATATCAAATTGGATTACCCATTATGTAACTTTGCCAAACTCCACCTCCTATTATTGTCAAAATATCGATGTAGTAAAAAAAAATTTTAAACCTATCATTATCACCATCAACCTTATTATTTGACAAACTATTGTATTTTGTTTTTTTTTTTAATAATTTTGAAATTAATTTTGTACAATCTATCTTATTTTTATGTGTACATACATTTTGATGTAAATAATTCATTTCATGCAAAGAGGATCTGCATGAGAAGAAGAGCCGTATAGAATTGTAAAGAGAGAGAGCCTGCGAGTGAGCTTTGAGGGTACACTTCGAGGCCCAACTTTTTTTTTCCAATCCTTGTTCAGTTGAAATTTACCTATTTATTTGACTGTTAAAAATAGAATTGAATAGACAAGAATTAGTTAAGCTTTGTAAGACAAGACATTAATGCATGTCTAACGAGCGGCTATATAACTCACGTTTTTGTGAATTTATAATCCATCATATTTAGCTCATATATTTTTTTTACAACTCAAGTCTATTTTAATTAATCACAACCTATCCTAACCAATCCACCAAACATACCCAATGCCCACACACCCTATTAAATTAAATGTTAAACTAGTCACCGATGAAATTTAAATATAAAGACTCAGCATCTTTCCAACACTATAATACAAGACCACTTGCTAAAATAACATTAAAAAACAATTTGTACAAGACCACTTGCTAGAATAACATTAAAAAACAATTTGTTTTGAATGTAAAGACTCAAAATCTTTCCACCACGGTAATACAAGACCACTTGCTAGAACAACATTAAAAAACAATTTGTTGTAAATGGTGAGACGGATACCAATTTATTTTTCCAATTTGCTGTAAAATATAATTTTGCATTAAAAAAAGGGTAAATTACATAGTAACCCCTCAGATTTGAGGTCTATTACAACCTCATACAACATCTTTAAAACATTTCACTTTCATACTTCACGTACTATTTTATTACAATCTCATACAATCTCTTTAAAACATTTCACTTTCATACCTTATGTATTATTTTATTTCAACATAATACCTCTGTTAGATTTTTCATCCATTAATCCGTTAAATCCTGACGTGGCTGCCACATTTGTGCTGATGTGGCTGCCATGTGGCAATTTTTTTTTTTTTTTTATATGTACATTAAAAATATTATAATATTAACCCTATTAAAAAAAAAGAAACTCAAACCCAAAAATCCTTCCCCGCAACACCACATCCCACCCCCACCCCTTACCCATCTCTTCCTTCCCGTCCCTCCATCCCCTCCACCCGAGCACCCCTCAGCTCGGGTCCCACCTTGACCTCTCTCTCTCTCTCCCCCTCCCTCTCTCTCTCTTCTGTAAAATGTGGAATGGTTTTTGAGGTCTAGTGCCTCGCCTCCCTCCCTCCTCCTGGACCCTTCCAACCTCGACCTCTCCTGCCTCGCCTCCCTCAACCTCCTGTCATGTATATTATAATATTATAATATTTTTAATGTATAAAAAATTATTATTTTTACCACATGGCAGCCACAGCAGCACAAATGGGCTGTCATGTCAACATTTAACGGATTAATAGATGAAAAATCTAACCGATGTATTATGTTGAAATAAAATAATACATGGAGGTATGAAAGTGAAATATTTTAAAAAGATTGTATGAGATTGTAATAAATTTCAAACCTGAGGTGTTACCATATAATTTACCCAAAAAAACCAAAACAACAAAACAGACAGCAAAAAGGTAAACAGAATGCATACCGAAAAATCACCAAACAACATCAAATCATATAACGAAAAATTCATAGCAAATCTGGATGGATTCGAACCACCAACCTCTCAAAAGCCCAGTCAAGGACCTTGAGCGCTCTACCATTTTTGAGCTTACAGATCTTCATTTCAAGCAACGAGCAGGAGGCCGAAATCGATCAACAAAGTTTAACTTCTGAATTTTCCAGCTTAATTCTTTTCAGTAAGAAATTTACAGTACAAGCAACTACTTGTCGACTTACGTTATGTACATATGGTACATCTATTTAAATGGGGGTAGTAGTCTACCAAAAAAAAAAATCTAAGTTAAGCCCCGCAATAAACCAACAATAATGTTGAGCCTTTGCATAATGATGTTAGTTCAAATCCCACAGTAATCAACTTGGAGTCAATTTAAGGCAATTTAAGGCAATTCAAGGCAAGCATCCTTCCATGATGAAAAAATGTTGAGCCTTTACATAATGATGTTAGTTCAAATCCCGTCGGTGACCAACCTAAAATTTAATCTTACAAAATCTATTACTTGACCAAAATAAAATATAATTTTAAGGTCCCCCAAAAATTTAGGGCATCCCTTTTCTCGTCTGATATATAGATCCAAAAATTAACTTCTCCGAAGGCATAAAAAATACAAGTGTTCTAAGCAGAGCAACTATTCCCCTCAAAATTAACTTCTCCGAGGGCATAAAAAAACAAGTGTTCCAAGCAAAGCAACTATTCCCCAGCCCAAAAACAAATTATGCTGTTTCAATTTTACAATTAACTTGCAGTAACAAATGATTCCTGCAAATTTTTAGCTTTAAGATTTATTTGGATTTACTTTTAAAATGATTGAAAAATGACTAAGAATTGGTTCTAAAAAATGACTAAAAATACTTTCAGAAAAAATATTTTTTTGTTCCAAAAACACTTGAAATACTTTCCGGAACAAGCACATATTGTGCTTCTTACAGGAAGCAATTTAAATGTAAATGTTTTTTTTTCAGAATTTACTTACATTTTTACTACGAATTGGTTACAAAAACATTTTCACCAAAAACGCTTTCAATCATTTTAAAACCACATCCAAACGAGCTTAGTTAAAGAGGTTGCATCATATAAAGGAAGACATCATGAACTAAACGCCACCTTCTGTAAGTAATAGTAAATAGAAACTACATAATACAAACATTGAACAACTACGCGGAGCTGTTTGAAAAATAACCAAAATCATAACCCCTAATTGTGAATCGGGCAATATCAACAGACCACAATTTGATCTATCATCCAAGTACTATAAAAACAACCCCAGTTTAACGATAATTCCTCCGCAATTCCATACAAACAACAAAACCAAGGGAATATATTCAATCTAAACTCTTTTAACAAATGAATAGAATAAATAAATGATAATGCCAACACCTATGAATGATCAATCGCAATGACTTGAATCACAAAACGTAAATTAACCGAAAACATTACTTGCCAATACTTCAAAAGCTTCTTGTAAATTAACAGAAAACATTACTTGCCAATACTTAAAAGCTTTAGTTTCATTGGTCACCTCAAATCCTCAGAAAAGAGGTTGTCACGAAAAGAACTTCTGGACCTATCCCACAACCAAGCAGCTTGTATTTGAGCCGAAATTTAGTTTAACTTGTAATTGTGATGAGAGGCTTCGTTCTGGCCATTCGGGCTCGTCGAGCAGTAATCTTCCGGCATCAAATCTCCCTAGAATCATCTAATTGGAATACAATGCATGGCTTACAGCAATGGAATCCAAAACCAACATAATTACATAATATTACAAAGATCCATCAACTAACAGATCTCACAATATCTAATAACATCCGTTATAAACAAATATTAAGGCAAAGGCCAACAATTTAGATGATAATCTCATCCTCAGCTCATAGAATTTGTACTACCATAACATTAATAACGAGGCAATAAACAGTGCAGAAGAGACTTTGGTATCATAAGAATGACTTGTAAAAGTAAGCAGGAACGAATCGGAGGTTTCGAGAATTGTTTAGAAGGATGATATAAGTACGTTTGTGCATAAGTAGACAGAGAAATTACCAACTATATCAAACAAAGTTTTGATTCCAAATTATTTCTGTCCTTTCTTATTCCAAACAAAGTTTTGATTCCAAATTATTCCAAATCGTTTGTGCATAAGTAGACGGAGAAATTACCAACTATATCAAACAAATTATTCCACGATACAATAAATTTGCTTACTTTGAAGTCAAAATGATTGAAAACAATTTGGAATAATTTGAGGTTGATTGAACAACTCCACAGATTGTAAGCATTATCAATCAATTACCAAGTTCCAATTAACATATTTTATATTGTGCTTACAAAATTAGATAAAACTCATTGATTGAGACAATTTGAGCAAGAAACTAATTAATTGATTGTGCAAGTGATTATATGTTCCCTGTGTGAGTGGCAGGCTTTATTTAGCTTTATTAGATTGATGAAATCAATTGAAATAGATTTAGATAGATTAATACCTTTGACGACGAGATATCGATGCGGCCGCAGTTGTCCAGAATCCATGTCCGACTGTTTGCGATTGGGGGCGAGCAAAAATAAGAGACAAAACAATAAGAAAGGACAGACGGCGCACACCACACAACGGAGGGGAGACCCTGGGCAAAAATAAACTCCATGCTGTCTCCCCTCCGAACCAAAAATCGTTATTTTTTTATTGAGATATTTTTTTTGACCTGCCATGCAAGCAGTGGCGAAGCTAGGAATTGTTGGGTGGAGGGGCGAAATTTTTCGAATCCTTACGTCCAATTAGTAAACCATTTCTCAATTAAGACATTACTTCCATCATTTCTCGCTTTATCAAAATCACATTTGAAAAGTAGCAATAACGGCAAAATGCTACATCTTTTGCTATACTATACTTCAATCACTCAAAATTATCAAACTAACGGGTGATCAAACATCGATTGTCCTTCCCCCATAACTTATAGTATCATTCCATTAACTAAATGTATAATGGAAAGAAAAAAAGTCACTTAATCCTATAGTAGAGTCTACTACAAGTAATAACTAATTAGACCAACAATTCAGTTAATTAATATTAATAATTATATAAATTTATTAATAATCAACAATTAATTTAATCAAGAATCAACAATTCAATTAATCAATAATCAACAGTTAAATTCATCAATAATCAACAATTCATTTATCAATAACCATACAATTCATATCAATTATTCTATATCAATTAAACAAAAATTTATATTAAACTATCAATTAGGGATAATTAAATTTAAAAAAAAAAACATTAGACATTAACATTAAAAGTGGCTATGGAAGTTGGCTTGGAAGATGTTGGCTTCGAGGCTCCTTGGAATGGAAAGTGGAAGCCGCTGGCTAAGGCTTGAAGGCTTGAAGCTGGAATGGATGGGGACACAGACAAATGGAAGGTGGTCCCCTTATCTTTTTAACTTTCAATGATCACACGACGCCATTTTTAGCTTCTTACTATTTTTTTAGTACGCCGAAACGATGCCGTTTTGCTTTAGGTTTCTTTTTCATAAACCCAGGTCCAAAAGAACAGACACCCGCATCGCAGAAGCATGAAGGAAAAGGGATGGTTTGTAGGTTTTCCGACGATCTAAAGGGGGCAGCAAGTTGCTGCTGATCATCATTTCCTGAGAGAGGAGGGGCGACCGCCCCTCCTTGCGCCTACGTAGCTTCGCCCTTGCATGCAAGTGCACCTGCCATGGCAAAGGCCGGATGACAAAGATCGGTCCAGCACTCGGCCCTGTAAAACATTTGTGAATGGACAATGAGTTGTGATGAAAATCTTTAAGAAAGTAGTTGACTTGGTAATCAAGTCAAATGAAATCTTTATTCTCAGAAACCTTAAAGGAATAAATATATTTGGAGTTCTAATTGTTTGCAATCAGTTTCGGGACCTTTTATCAAGAGAATATATATATAAGAGTCATGATGGGACTCTGATTGTTTTAGAGGATATCAGGGTGGATATCCTTTCCGTTAATAGGGGGGATTCGATAGAAACCCTAGATATAAAAACAAAGAAGCAGTCCCTGCTTCCATACCGTTCGAATCACAATACTACAGACCTATTTTGTTAGTAGAATTCATAGAGGAGGTATTGGAAGTAGAAGATTGCTTCATCCCTGCACCAGAAGCACAATGGCGACAGGTATGTTTTCATGGCTAAAAGCATGCACAACGATAATGCCATGCAACATGTATATAATGACGTAACCTGCATATTGTTCTTACTGTAACCCTAATAGCATGCTGTTGGTTCCTTGGGTTATCTAACATGTGGTATCAGAGCCACACAGTATGGTTAGGGTTCAATATTAGGACTTACAGATATGATCCATAAACAATAACATTCATGTGATAATTAACTTCCGCTGCACTGATAATTCCTGACATGTATAGATGATGAAGTTGAATATATAGATATACATATATTGTTGCTGTTTAATCCGCGACAGGTTTAGATGGGAAACAGAGAGACAATGTACGTGGGTCATAATCTGATTACAAGAACATTTATTCATCAAAGTTATACTGATGAATATATTTTCAAGACTCATAAACGCTAATCTGCTCAAAAGTGTTTAGCGTGCTTTGGTTGCTTATTGTCCAAGTGATTGGATCTGACTCATTTGATATATGTGAAAATTATTAATCTGCCTAAAGGTGTTTAATGACTACTGTTGAAATTCGAATGAGTTAGTGTATAATGGAAGATGGAATTGACAAGATTATGTAATCCATCTGCTCAAAAGTGTTGGATATATATATATATATTACCCTTGTGTTCTATGTTTGGATTATGCAAAACTAATATAAGCAACTTCAGTCCAAAGATGTTGTTGTGTTTATATGCTATTGAGAGGATGAAGAAACTTGTCATAAGCTTCTTCTTTATATCTGTTATAAAATTTTTGTATAAAATATTAATAAATTTTGTTGAATGCAGCTACTCAAACCACGTCACTCAATTTTACTAACATTGAAACATTGACTGGTTCGAATTTTAAAAAATGGAAAGAGGATATTGAGATAGTGTTGGGACTGATGGATCTGGATCTGGCCTTGAGAGAAGATCAGCCTGCAACAATCACTACTGAAAGCACTGCAGATCAAAGGATTAAGTCTGAAAAATGGGAGAGAGCCAATAGAATGTCAATAATGATCATGAAAAAGGCCATGGCTCAGTCGGTGAAAGGAGGAATTCCAAAGCACACCAATGCCAAGGCTTTTCTTGCTGCCATTGGGGAAAAATACATAGAATCTGGGAAGGCTGAGACTGGAACTTTTCTCACTCAACTCACTTCCATGAAGTTCGATGGAGTTGGGAGTGTGCGTGAGCACATTCTCAAAATGGCAGACCTTGCTCTAAAGCTCAAAGATCTTGAAGTGGTTGTGACTGATCAGTTTCTGGTGCATATGGCACTGAATTCGCTCCCTGCGAAATATGGTCAACTCAAGGTGTCTTATAACACTTCGAAAGACAAGTGGGGTATTGATGAATTAATTTCAATGTGTGCTCAAGAAGAAGACAGGCTGAAAACTGATAAGAATGCAGAAGTGCATTTTGTTCAAACTGAAAAAGGCAATAGAGTTCCAAGTACTGGTCCTATGAATACTGCCAACCAGAAGAAAAAGAAGGTTAATTCTTACCCTTCAATTAAGAATACTAACACTTTTAAAGGATCTCACAAACTTAAACCTATAAACACTGAAAATGATAAAGATAAGGAGTGTTATTTCTGCAAAGAAACAGGCCACATGAGGAAGAATTGCATTGGTTTCAAAAACTGGCTGGTTAGGAAAGGTAAAATCATTAATGTTTTTGTCTGTGTTGAATCGAATTTAATTATCGTTCCTCCTCAAAGCTGGTGGTTTGACACTGGATGTTCCATCCACATAACCAATTCTTTGCAGGGGTTCTCAAAAACAAGGGAAATAAACAATGAGGTCTACAACGTTTTTGTGGGAAATGGGAGCAAGGTGGCTGTGGAGTCTGTGGGCAGTGTTAAATTAGTTTAGCATCGGGTTTTGTTTTGTTTTTAAGTCCAGTTCTATATGTACCTTCAATGCGAAGGAGTTTAATTTCAGCATCAAAGTTAGTTGAGTCAGGAATCATTTTTGTTGGAGACAATGAAAGTGTAAAATTTTTCCATTCGAATAATAAGAACACCTTGCTTGGAAGTGCTTTTCTCAAAACTGATATGTGGCAAATGGATTGTAGCTATTACAATGAGTGTTTTAATGTGTCATTGAACAGTTCTAAAAGCAACATAACTTCTGAAAAATCATCAATACTTTGGCATAAGAGGCTAGGACATATATCAAAAGAAAGAATGTTAACACTTTCACAACAGCTTTTGTTGCCACAGCTAGATTTCAGTGATTTTAAGGAGTGTGTTGATTGTTTTAAGGGAAAGCTCACGAATACCAGAAAGTTGGGTTCGAATAGAAGTCAAAACTTGCTAGAAATAATTCACACTGATATTTGTGGACCATTTCCGAATAAAACAATTTGTGGGAACAGTTATTACATAACTTTTATTGATGATTTTTCAAGGTTTTCATATGTGTTTTTGATTTCTGATAAGTCTTTGGCACTTGACTGTTTTAAAATTTTTCATTTGGAGGTTGAAAAACAACTTGAAAAACGAATTAAGATTGTGAGATCCGATAGAGGTGGTGAGTATTTTGGCAGGTATACTGAAACTGGACAGCACAAGGGACCTTTTGCGACTTATCTTGAACAAAATGGCATTGTTGCCCAGTATACAACCCCTGGCACTCCACATCAAAATGGAGTAGCAGAAAGAAAGAACAGGACTCTCAAGGATATGGTTCGATCAATGCTGGCACTCACAATTGCCGATTTTTCTTTGGGGAGAAGCTTTGAAAACTGCTAATTATATCCTGAACCGTGTTCCAAGCAAGTCAGTAAAGTTAGTACCTTTTGAGTGTTGGACAGGGAGGAAACCTAGCTTTAATCATTTCCACGTGTGGGGGTGTAAAGCTGAGGCCAGGTTCTATAACCCTAATGAAAAGAAGTTGGATCCAAGAACGACTAGCTGTTGGTTTATTGGTTATCCAGATAAATCCAAAGGATTCAGATTTTATTGTCCTAATTCTAGCACTCGCATTATGGAAACTAATAATGCAAAATTTGTTGAAGAGGGTTCCATTTGTACATTCGCTCGACCAACATCTGAGTTTGAAGAAACCATAATTCCTTCATTACTTGATCCGCAAGACAACACTGTCGACGTCACTGAGATACCACAACCACTGCTGCTCCAAAGTGACACACACAATTTTCAAGAGGCTGAGACAGTGCTTCCAGATCATAATGATGAAAACGTGATGCCCCCAACTGAAAATACTGTGGTCTTGCCTTCTGTTGTCATCAATGAGGCAGCAGATGTATCTGTCCTAGTACCAAATGAGGTTCAACACAATGCACAACATATAAGGCGCTCTCAAAGAACACGAAAGGCAAACATTTCCTCAGACTTTGTATACCTCCATGAGGCTGAGCATAATGTAGGTGATGAGGATGATCCTATTTCTTTCAATCAAGCAGTTTCAAGTGCTCGGTCCAAACTATGGTATGCAGCTATGGAAGAAGAGCTGCATTCCATGTACAAGAATGATGTATGGACCTTAGTTCCCAATGATCAGCAAGTAACTAAAGTAATAGGCTGCAAATGGGTCTACAAAACAAAAAGGGATTCTCATGGACAAGTTGACAAACATAAAGCAAGACTAGTGGCTAAAGGGTTTACGCAGAGAGAAGGATTCGATTACAATGAAACCTTCTCTCCTGTATCCACCAAGGATTCGATGCGAGTTCTTTTAGCTCTCACTGCACATTTTGATCTTGAACTTCATCAGATGGATGTCAAGACTGCTTTCCTCAATGGAGACTTGGAGGAAGACATATACATGGCACAACCACCAGGATTTGTTGAAAGGGGGAAGGAATCATTGGTCTGCAAATTGAACAAGTCCATTTATGGGCTAAAACAGGCTTCAAGACAGTGGAACAAGAAGTTTGATCAAGTTATAATGGCAGCAGGTTTTCAAGAGAACAAGATGGATGAATGTGTGTATTTAAAGGTCAGTGATTCTAAGTTCATATTCTTGGTCTTATATGTCGATGATATACTATTGGCAAGCTCGGATATATCATTGTTACATGCAACCAAGAAACTGTTAACAGAAAGCTTTGATATGAAAGATTTGGGAGAAGCTCAGTTTGTGCTTGGTATTGAGATAATACGATATCGTAGCAAAAGGGTTCTTGGTCTTTCTCAGAAACAATACATTGATAGAGTCATCAAAAGATACAACATGGAGAAGTGCTCTAGTGGCGAATTACCTATTGGGAAAAGGGATAAGATGAGTACTGAACAAAGTCCCAAAAATGAGTTGGAAAAGGAAAGCATGAAGGACAAGCCCTATGCATCTTTAGTTGGCAGTTTAATGTATGCTCAAGTATGCACTAGGCCTGACTTAGCATTTGCAGTGAGTGTACTAGGAAGATTTCAATCAAATCCTGGCACAGCTCATTGGATTGCAGCCAAGAAAGTTCTCAGGTATTTAAAGAGGACAAGGGATTATATGCTGACTTATAGCTATGTTGATAACCTGCAGCTGGTGGCATACACAGATTCGGACTTAACTGGATGCGTGGATGACAGAAAATCAACCAACGGTTATATTTTCTTACTTGCGGGTGGAGCTGTCTCATGGAAAAGCGCAAAACAAGGCTCTATTGCATCCTCCACTATGGAAGCTGAGTTTATTGGATGTTATGCAGCGACCAAGCAAGCTATTTGGTTAAGAAATATGGTGAAAGAACTGAGAATTGTTGACAATATTGAGAGACCATTAAGAATATTGTGACAACAAGGCTTCAGTGTTCTTCTCGAAGAACAACAAAAGGTCGTTGGCTTGCAGGCTGATGGATATAAAGTATCTAAAGGTTAGAGATGAAGTGAGAAAGGGAACGGTGGACATTCAACATATCAACACTGAGTTGATGATAGCTGATCCTATGACAAAGGCTTTATCAGTGGGAGTCTTTAAGCGGCATGTCTACAACATGGGCGTTAGAGAGACTTTTGATTCAGTTAATGAGTGGGAGTAAGCACTCGATTAATTGATAACCGTTTCTTTCAGATTTATTTTGGATTGTGATTTGGATATTATATATTGAGAATTAATATTTGAAGTTTCTTTGACAGATAATTTTGTACTGATAAATGAATCAGTTTGTGTTGTGAGGAACTGGAATTTTGACTGCCAGTTCTGTACATCATGATCTCTTTGGTAACACAGTGCTCTTAAGTTAAGTGTGTATGTGATCATGGAGGAAAAATACAGTTTCACTTGTATTTTTATTTCCTTGGTTCTGCATTTGATTTTAAGAGTGACAGGTTGCTTTAAAAGGACATGGTTGCAAGCCTGAAAGGACTCTAGTGATCACCATGTATATTTATTTCGTTAAGGGGTTCGCATTGCCATTCAAGTGGGAGAATGTAAAACATTTGTGAATGGACAATGAGTTGTGATGAAAATCTTTAAGAAAGTAGTTGACTTGGTAATCAAGTCAAATGAAATCTTTATTCTCAGAAACCTTAAAGGAATAAATATATTTGGAGTTCTAATTGTTTGCAATCAGTTTCGGGACCTTTTATCAAGAGAATATATATATAAGAGTCATGATGGGACTCTGATTGTTTTAGAGGATATCAGGGTGGATATCCTTTCCGTTAATAGGGGGGATTCGATAGAAACCCTAGATATAAAAACAAAGAAGCAGTCCCTGCTTCCATACCGTTCGAATCACAATACTACAGACCTATTTTGTTAGTAGAATTCATAGAGGAGGTATTGGAAGTAGAAGATTGCTTCATCCCTGCACCAGAAGCACAATGGCGACAGGTATGTTTTCATGGCTAAAAGCATGCACAACGATAATGCCATGCAACATGTATATAATGACGTAACCTGCATATTGTTCTTACTGTAACCCTAATAGCATGCTGTTGGTTCCACCGAGCCTTTCGTCCCGATAACTTATACATCCATCTGAATTCAACCCATAACCCCAACCCAAATCCCACGATAAAAGCTTCAGTCTCATGAAATTACAACCATGAACTATGACCCTTTGGTTAAGATTAAACATGCTTCAGCCACCACGAGATCGAATTGGATCAGCTGCTGAAACGACGCCGGATACTTGTAATCTCTTCCGATTTGGTTAGAGCTCCGCCTACGAAATCTGTTTGGACGCCAAAACATACATCAATCAAAATCTATAGGGAGCAGAAACACTAAAAGCTAAAATTCATTGCAAATTAATAAAATTTAAACAAAAAAGCAAAAACAATAACGATTTGATACAAAATTTCATATCCAGATTAGTAAAACGAATCGAAAACATATACGAACCTGTAAATTCGAATCGAAGAGCGACGAACACAGAAGCTCGAGCTGGTAAAACCGCCTGAATTCAAAAGCAGCTCAAACCATCACCTCACAATCTCAAACCAACATCAACGCATAGATCTCGGCACGATCGACGCGAATCCGATGGAAATCGACATAGAAAACAATCCATGGAGGGTAAATCTGGAGAAGAACTCCGGATGCGCATTGAGGTTGTGAGAGGAGAGAGAATAATTGGTAGCGTGAACCTTGAATGGTTGATAAGCAGGCACCCTAACGTATTTATAGGAGGATAAATTGGATAGACGGCTGGGATTGGTTAATTATCATCGTGATCGACGGCTGGTGTTGATCATGTGGTTCGGTAGATTTGGCGGTGGCGTAACCATACACGTACTCTGATGCGCTGGAGACAGAGAAAGCACACCCCATTTTATTCACGGACAAGGTTGTCTGCCCTCTTGTTTTCGTGCTCTTTTGTTTTATGTGGTCACGGTTAAACCACGTTAATATTTTATATTACTTTTTTTATAGAGATAATAAGACAAAAATGAATACTAATATAAAATGTTAACGTTGATTAACCTTAACCATACAAACAGGAAGGCATGAGAGGGTACGGGACCAAAGAGGATTGTCCTTTTATTGACCATATCAAACACGACATGTAGTTTATTACGCCGCCTCGATAGGTTGTTTGGTGGGAATCGGATTCGATTTTTATGTGAATGTTTATTTTGTTGGGATAGAGTTCATAAACATATTGGATTCTATTTCTATTAAAAATAATAGTTGTATAAATATCTATTTTGTTTTATTACTATAATTTTGGTTGGTTCTCTATTATTCGATATATCTGGGCTGATGGTTTCTTCATTGGGCCTTAAGAGTATTAGGAGATATGGCCCAAGCCCGAAATTATAGGTTTTTCTGTATTTGTAACTCGGTTTTATAAATGATTACTTACGTAAATATGACTAATATATTGTGTAACTTATGTACTTATCACCTGTTTCAGATGCCCTTTGTTAAAATGTTGGTTTTTTATGTGCCTGGTGATATTATTCTTTACTTGTAAGTGATACTTCTTAGGTTTGATTCCCATCAAAGGCAAATTCGAACAAAAATATTATAGCTATTTCATTTTGAGGTTTACCTCACTCCCACCCATCAGCATAGATTATAGGGGTGTGATATCCACACATCATTTTTTACTTATCTCACACCTTTTTGGTTTTTAGTCGTCGGATCAGATGAATTAAAGAAGATCAACGGACAGAAATTAACAAGGAGTGTGTGAGAAGTAAAAATGGGTGTGTGGATAGCACACCCCTAGATTATATTGTATGTATTCAAAAAAGGTTGCTTGTCCCACTCAGTACTATTGTTTTGTGATATTTCTCTTCACTTTGAGAGATCATCTCGTGGATAGCGAATTCGATACCAAATTCGTTTATCCATTGTGTGGCTTAGCCGAACTTCCCATATCCTTAGTGTAAAAAAATATTGATGTATTTATAAAAAAATAAAAAATAAAGTTGCTTGTTCGTAATTTGTTTATACTTGTTTCCCTTGGGTGTTTTTAATATGTAGCAAGCTTTGATCGTGTTTTGTTCTTGAAGGAATTTTCACTTTCGGTTGGGTTTGTTACTTGGGCCATAAGAAACTCTATCTGGCTTCGGTCTCCTTCTGATTGATCGTTGAAGGGGCATTAACAACTCAATCCAATCCGTCTAAATTGATGGTTCTTCTGCTCTCATGGGCATTTGAGTTTACACCACTTTTGGCATTCAACTTTTTTAGGGTTTACACGTATCTTAAAAATGTTTGCTATTAGGTTTAACAAATCGAACCATGATGCAAAGTTCACAATTCAATCTATGCTGGGTCGGATGCAAGTTGCTTTAAACTTTAACGAACGTTAACATTAACACATACAAACTATGAAGATAATCCGAATGAAAAATCAAGCAAAGAATGATTACTTATTAGCATTAATACTTACATATAGCTAGGATTACCAAGAAGAATTATAGTTCAATCACTCAAATTGAGCGTCCATGCACTCTTGATTATCAACACATAACAAAAATAAAAACTTTGGATGCGGTCTTTATAAAAAATGAAAAGGAACTACATAAAAAGCCACGTATCCATGCAGTCGTTTTGTAGAGACATTAGGGCTATTGGCATTGGTTGCTTAATTAGTTTGTAGATGCATTGGCCTGGGTCTGGCATCTCCCTTTCTCCTTCTCCTTGACTTCGCTTCCCTGCGTCTTGTCATAAGCAGGGTGATTCTCATGGATCAGCTGATCCTGTTCCGTCTTCGGAAAAGTCTGATTGTCCGAAAACACTCCTCCAAATCCTTCTTCATCGGACCTTGTCGCGTACCCTTCCCCAAATGATTGGGACATCACATCTCTATATATATAAGAACGTACATTAAGTGATTACATTTAGCTACTAATCATAAACAAAACTTTCTTGAACTGTCTAGCATCATAAATTGCTTACATTGTACGACTGTCAATTTTTATAAGGGTCTTTATGAATCTAAACGTTGATTCTAATGAAAGTTTAAGAGTGATTAAACTTGACCGTTAATAGGATAATTTTTGTTTGAATGTACATCTCAAGCTATGGAAAATATATGATATATCAAACAATACGTTTACTAGAAAGTGCTTTTAGAATATAGTTAAAAACACTTTTAAAGCACAAAAAAACAAATATTCGTGATAATTTTTGGCAGAGAAAGTATTTGTGATTTTTTTTATTGGAAAGTTAGTGAGAAATATTTTGTCAAGAACCACTTGATTTCTTATTATGAGTCTCGTAGTATTGCTTATAAGTTATAACATCAATTTCAAAAAAAACGTTCACGAACAAAATTGTTCGAAAAAAACACATTCGAAAAAGAATCCATCCTCGAGCATGACAAGATAACATTACCTGCACACAAAAGCTAGAAAATTTTGAGTACCACAAGGCAATGAGCAACTAACCCAGTTTTCTGATCGGGACACTCTGCCTTGTTCATGTTGTGTTTACTGTTTGGATCGCTAGAAATAGTTGTGGCCTGCCTTAATACGACTCCGGAAGCAATCCGACCCGAGTTCGACGGTGCTCGGATTTGGGTTCTGAGTGATTTTACTGCATGAATCATCTTTTGCATTCTTACAAAAATTTTACAGCTTGCTATAAATACATGAAGAAAAACTTACGACGATGAACCAGTAAATACATGCGGGTAAAATTGTCAAGTCCCCAAGTGGCAAATATGTCCGGTTCTATGGGACGGAAGTTCAATTTCGCCCATCAAAACTAGAAATAAATGGATTGTAGCGAATAATGGTACACCGCACACTCCACTTTCTAATTACAATTTAAATGTAGGTTTTGTTTGTACCGCATTTAGCGGGTAATGTCTCGTCTAGCGAGTAATGTGGTTGCTTGTTAACGATGGTTTGATGTGGTCTCGCTTATTGGCAGTGTCATTACATGTGCCTAATTAGGTTCATTGCGTATTTGTGATGGAGCTAAACTTGTGCACTTTTGCTAATACATAATCCTTGTGGTAGCCAAATTGGGAGGATTATCCTTATGCTTGTTTGTGCGAATTATATTTACATCATTGAATTGGTCTAAAGAATGTATCTATGTGGGAACCCTTGTACTTGTTCTTATCTGTTAATGATATCACTATCGTTTTCTGTAAAAGAAATAAAGTATACAACATGATTAATATGTCTCGTGTTACCCTACACGTGTTGTACCATTTTACTTTCCTTAGAAAAATCTCCCATCGTGTTGTAACCGTTCACTTGATCGTGAACTAAATTAATATGTCTCGTGTTACACCACACTACACGTGTACCACTTTACTTTCCTTATGTAGTGAAAAATCTCTCATTGTGTTGCAACAGTTGACTTGATTGTGAACTATCTCCAACCACGAGATGAGAAAACTATGACATTAATTATTTATTAACACAAAATATTTACATACACCTACAACAAGCTGAGTAATAAATTACACGGAGGACATATAGTTAACCACTCGAACCAGACTCTCACACGAGTCTGGCATTTGCTCTTCAAAAAACAAACGACACATGCAGATGCAGCGTGCTGTATTTTATCTATGCAGAGGGACTCGTCTTGTGTCGGGCTTTCTCCTTCTCCTTCACTTCACTTCCCGGCGACTTGTCGTTGGCCGGATGGTCGTCATGGATCAGCTGATCCTGCTCCGTTATAGCCCCGTATATCCCACCATATCCTTCGTCCTCGCACCTCGATGCATACCCGACCCCGAAAGACTCCAACAAAATGTCTCTGATAGTGTTCATATACAAACACCTTAGTCAACAGATTTAAACCACCAATTTTGACACTCAAAGTTTTAGCCACTGAGGAACGTACACCTCTCCTGATTTTGCACTTTTTTTTAATATTTTCAATCAGCAAACTCAATATTCTATTATTTTTACCAATTTTTCTGTACCACTTTGTTATATATATATGTAAAATATACCAATCTATTTTATGTAAAATGTCCCTATTTTATTATTTTAGAAAGTGAATCTATTCACTTTTTCTTTTTTATATACGCATATTTTGAAATGAAATGTATCTTTTTTTTTAATTTAACACACACCACTATTTAAAAATAAAAATAAACATTTTACTTTTAAAAATTAAACATTCATATTCAGTATTAACCTGTGCATGATTTTAAGAATAATTTAATAATTTATGTTATTAAATTTCTTAATTAATACTGAAATTTGATATTTAATCAAAGTATTCAAATTAATAAAGCTTTCGACCTAAAATTTTAATCAATCAAAGACGAGAACCAAAATTTCCACAACATAATCGGCATATTATTGATAGATTAGCCACGTTATCGACACAAAGTTCTATCTTTTCTAGTCATGAATTTGAAAAAAATACAAGTATATGTAAAAGAAAATATTCTAACCCAGTTTTCAGAGTAGGTTCCTCCTGCTGCTTGTCCATGTTACTGTTCTTACTAGAAACGTGAACACTTGCAGCCTGCTTGAATCGGACTCGGGTAGCTTTCCGGCCAAAGTTTGACGGCAGCGGCGGCGTGAATATCAAACCTGGCGGTTGTGGTCTAATCAATCTGATCGCGGTGATCATCTTTTGCATCTTCAAATTTGCGCTGCTTTGCTATTTATACTCAGAGGTTGAAACTTGTGTTGTTTTATACACTCACGCAGTGTAAAAATCTGAAGTCACCAGATTTCTCCGACTCTTGTAGGAATATGTTACCAGAAGCCTTGTTCTCGCGTCATGGTACATGGTGATGTGGGGACACGTATCGAATTTTGGAGAGAAAAGTGATTACGTAGCAATTCAAGTGCGCACGGCACTACATGCCATTTGAATCTTGACACGGTTTTTTGCTGGGAAAAGATAAGGGATACGGATGAGCAACGACATGGGCAGGTTTTATTGGTTGCCCCTGAGGGAAAGAAAGGTATAACCAGTGTATAAAATAATATTCTTTGATTGAAACCTTGTTAGTTTTTAGTTTTTGATTGAGGTCCCTAACATTAATGTAATAATGTAAGTTACTATATTTTTTAAATTAAAAATTAAAAATTGAAATTTGTAATTGTTTATATTAATGAGATTTTAAATAAAACCTATAATTTATGGGATTAAAAATAATAAAATATAAATTATACTCTATTATATTGTGTGTGTACATATATGTATGGGTACAGTAACCAAAATTAACAAAAAAGGTTATTGTACCAAAACATGGATACATTCTCAAATCAACGAAAAAGAATGTACCTATATAAGTTTAAACATGGATTAAAAAATTTGAATGGATTTTATATTAAAAAAAAGGGTACATTTTACATATAACAAATTGATATATTTGAGAATGGGTACATTTAAGATTAAAAAAAATTGAAAAATTATATGAATGGGTACATTTAAGATTAAAAAATTGAGAATCTTTTTATATATAAAAAAAACTAATAGGTACAAACTTAATTTAATTTAATTTTTTTATTATTTTGGAAATGTTTGAATTGAAAATTAATTAGAAGTTTAATAGAGGTGTGAGTATTAAACCCTAAATTAATTACTAATTTTTATATTAAAAAATTATATAATAAACATGTAAATTCATTATCACATTCATTGACACACCCCGTCCCGAAGGAGGGCATGCTGGCCGTCACGTGAGAGTGACGTAACCATTTGCACAGTACGGAAGCTTTAAGATACAATTTATAAGTTGATACACCCGAAGGTGAGTCCTAATTTTGTCCAATCTGTCAGAACACCGTCGAATTCCTCGTAGTCACCACACCTTTGTGATTCCTGAACCTGGAGGGGCGCAAAACCAAAATTGAGTGGGTCAGTAAAACAATTCTTTTCCAAATCCAAACATTTCTCAAAACGTTATAACCCCTCTCCGTAAAACTTGTATACTTTCCCAGAAATGTAAAATATAAATATACATATATATTCTCAATACTTCAATTCATTAACTCAACATTTTTCAGTACAAATATGTCATGCCATGTCGGAATTCAACAGTTAAGTATGAATGCATCAACAATAATTATATCAGGTGCAAAAAGTAATCAACCGGAGGCCCTCTAATAGCCTTGTACGGTTGAACCTAGAGCTCAAAATCTATCACTCTCACTCTGCCGGAGTCACCTCTGTGACCTGTCCGGCCTTCTGCACACAAGTTACGCTCTAGTGCTTCTCTCATCAATCATCTGTGCACATAATCTAAGGTCACCCACCAGTCGAAATCTCACTAACACTCTTCGACTGGCCTGTCGCACCCACTCCGCGTGGACTGTGCGACCAGCATCTACTTGGATCCAAGGCGAGCGTGCGATGCGGTGAATACTATAAGCACTAAACCATGGTGCAGGATTTGAGCTCAATATATATCAACATCATCATAACAGTATTTAAATACTCACCTGATACTCACCTGTGCGTCCGCCGCACCATTCATTCATATGCATCATATCTCAATTCATACTTTTCATATCATTTCATGCATGGCAATTCGATTCACATTTCTATATACTTTGCATATACTTTTATGCATGGCATCTCAATTCACATTTCAATATACTTTTCATATAATTTTATACATTGCATTTAAAGCATACTTTCATGCATTTTCAATTTCTGGGAAAACGGTAAGTATATATGTATACGGAAAACAAAACTGCCCACTCACCTGGAGTTCGCCCTACAACTCCCTAGCACAATACGCCAAGGCGTCATGACGATCGGCGCCTAAAACAATAATCAATTCTAACCTCAGAATTCATATCGATAGAATATATATCTTATATAAAATACGTCACTATGTAGTTCGATCCGGAAGATCCGCCACTCAGATTTTAAATCCATAACTTCTAGAGGTCCACAATATATCTCTAGGATAACATCCTAAAATTTCATCACCATCCAACGGTCGGATCTCCGTCAAATAACAAAACTAAGTGACGGTTAACATGTTATTTTATGAACTTACAACTCCAATTCCGGAAGATCCGTAACTCAGATTCCCAATCCGTAAGTTCCAATAATCCTCAAATATTACGTATTACAACGTATCAAAGTTTGGTAACGATCCAACGGTCAGATCATCAATTCACATTTTCACCTAAATGCAAAAACTATAAAAAGTTATTCGAACACCTAACCAACAATCCTTAATAACTTTCTCATACGGTGTTCAATTTGGGTATATGAATATACCACAGTGATCTACTCGACGTCACGGACGTTGAAATTTTTTTAAAATAATTTTTTACTGTAGCACGCTCCCCCACGCGCCAAGGAAGGCACGGACCTACGCGCCCCCACGCGCACCTTCTTCTTCCTTGGGTCGCCGGACTGGTTTCCCGGCGGCCGTTTTTCAAATTGCCATAACTTTGTCATTTCTCAACGAAATCAAATGATTCAAAAACGAAAGTTGTAGCCCTTGAAGAGACAAAGAGACTGGTACCTTGCACAACACCTAGTTCGCCGTGTTTTTGCCGGAAACTTCCTCGAAAGCCTCGGAGGTCGCCGGAAACTGGGTAAGATTCAAATGAGTATAACTTCTTCAATACTCAACGAAATTGAGTGAAAAAAAAGGAAAGTTGTAGTACTTGACGAGACAAAGAGATTGATACCTACCTCGACTCCTAACTCGCCGGGGATTCGCCGGAAAAAGCCTCGAAAGCTCCGGCCAAACTTTGAACTTGTCGATCTCCGTGTTCTTACGTCCAAAAACTTCCAACGAAGCACTCCGAGCTTCCTTGGGACCTCACTAAGCTCGCTGTGATCTTTTTTTAGCCTAAAACGTAGTCATTTAGAAGATCATGAACAGTACCATTTCACGGGAACTTTGAAACTAGGGTTTTCCGAAGCAAAACTTACCTGAAATGGATACCATCGTGATCGTGGAGGTTCCAGGAGTTTGATGGTGGTCTTAACTCCGTCGTTGGTGGAAGTTTAAGGTTGTTTTGTGGTTGGTTTGTTCGAACGGAGAAGAAGAGTGACAGAGAGAGTGAGAGAGTCGTGAGGGAAGAGAGAGAGACAGGGTACGGGAAATAGGGAGGGATTTGAGGTGTGTGGTCTTACCAAAACCCCAAATCACAAAATTCCATCTCCAAATAACTTAGGAACATATATTTCACCAATATATAATTCACATATCTTAATCACGTTTAAGGGCAATTCCGTCAATTTACAATCACGAGTGTAAAACTTTGGGACGGGCTGTGACATTCATGCTAGGGACTTGAATCAAAATTTGAGAACTAACAAGGTCTTAGTCAATGAACAGTAAAAACTAGGGACCAGATACTAATTTTTCCTAAAAAAAATAGCCTGTTTAGTTTTTCTTATTGGATAAGCAATAAAGTACGGATTTTTTCCCCAGCCCCTAAGATCATCTTCAATGATTGTGCTAAAAGTAAAATATTTTAGTCCGGAAAATTTAGCTTTTAGCCCAGAAACAGTTTTTCTGCTCCAACCGTTCTAGCCTAAAATTTTTGCCCGGGATTATTTTTTTTGTTAAATTAATTTTTTTTAAATAAATATGTAGACTATCATAAATTAATTTTATGAACATTTTAATATAAAAAATAATTAAATTCATATTTTTGGGCTAAATTTCGGGAGGAATCTGACTTTGGTTTAGCATTTAGCCCAAATTTTCCCCTTGGGTTGGAATGGGTTTGGAGAGAAATTTTGGGGGGTAGTTTGGCTTTTAGCCCACCATTGGAGAGATTTTTCGGTGTGACCACTACACGGAGTGGTACACCACGTGTTACTATGCAAATTGTGGAATATGTGTACTAAAAAGTTAATAACTTAAAAAATAAAATTTCCCACCACTCATATTAAAACAAGTGGTGTACCACTTGTGTTCCCGTTACAACTAAAAATTTCTTCTCTGAGGATATGTCAAATATAGTATGTCAAAATTTTATTTGATGACTGATGTGCAAATTGAATACAAATGCTAAATCTTCTTCTTTTCCAATGGATGTGTCAAATAATTATTTTTTTATTTTATTGGGCCTAAAGTTACATTAACTATTAAAAAACAATCAAAATTAATTTTAGTTTGTATTATATGAGTTGTTAATGCGACTCATACATTAAAAATTAAATTAAATATATTTGACTCTTTTTTTGTTTGCTGTAAAAAAAGGCAGCTAGAAAGTAAGAAGTCAAATGACTCCAATGCCACATCATATATGGTATATCCATTGATGAACATTTGAATGTCTTTTAATCCTATTTGATATATTTGACATCTCCTTTGAAGATAGTCTAATTATCTCGCAATCTCTTCTACAGCCAACCTAACAACAATAACAGAAGCGGTAGGAATCAGTGTATTCAGGTTAAGTTCCTCGTACCCTAGAAAATGAAATAATTAATGATACAAGCAACAACTGAATTATGACTTGGCCCACGTAGCTCATAGTTGGATTGTTGATTCTTTTGATAGTGTTACAGTCTTATAGTATTAGTTTCACAATGAACTAGTAATAATGTGGTTAAAATTCATCTTAGACGAAAATCGAATATAAGATCTTTCACTTACAAATAAAGAAAAATACTAATAGACCGTAGTACTAAGTGACTCACATTAACTGCACAAACCCGTGCCTACAAACAAATAAAAAAAGAAAAAAAAAACTGCTCCACTGTTGACAACTGTGTGGGTTTAGACTAGTCGGTGTCGTTGTTCATTCTATAGGATAAAAAGCCCAATGTTTTCCAGCCCAGAACGCAGCCTATAGCCTCCACTGTTGACAACTATGGGCTACCCCCAACTGGACCCATT